GGGAAACACAAATGTACGGTATTATTTATTTAATAAAATACTATTTAATTTGTATACAATGAAATTTTATCACTGAGAGAACAGATAATGATGTCAAAATATTTTATATACATATGGAGGCTTCATGATCAAAGCTTTTTGCCAGGATTTGTTATGTCCCTGGCGCGACTGGGCTGCTGGGCCGCGGTTTGGTGTCTGGAATCGTAAATGCTGTGAAGTAAAAAGTTTGCGGAACGCTGGTCTAAATAACACCGCAAAGCACCTGTCACGGCTAGCAAATGCGGAAGTGGGCATACGCACATACTTCTCACGATGTAGCTGTCGTAGGCCTACCGATCCGATGAAAAATGACGGTAAAAATAATTATTTCTCCTAAATTATTCTAAAATATGGGATGATATTCACTTCATGAGATCCAGACTCTGATGATCTATGTTATATTTTTTTTTAGACCGATAGGTTTCAAATCCTAGCTAGACGTTTATTGAGGACGGTGACCTAAGTTTTGCATTGTGTTCGTAGGCTTTAAACAAGCGTAATTATGACATAGACGACAAAAATGTGAGGCACTACGTGTTGTCGTAGTCAAAATGCTCATAATTTTCAAGCATAATGAATTCTTAAACCAGTTAATAGCACATAATTTAAACAACATCAACAAAATTAGTTTTTTATCTTAATTGGAAAGTATCCCACCGCATTCATTGAGAGTCACCTAGGTCCAGAATTGCTCCTGGAGTGAAATCGGATGGTGACTCAGGAGATCCTGCATTTAGATTGTGCCAGTTGGTTTTAGTTGTTATTGAAAAAAGGTCTAATTAATAATTAATTGACATTGAACAGTATTTTTTTTCTGGTTCAGTGAATAAATACTCCCAAAAAGAAACTTATGCATGACGCAAGTGCTTTGCTACCGCGAGGGAAAGGCGCTATATAATGAAGATTATAAACTGATATTCACTTACAGTTATAATGCTAATGATGCCATTTCCTCTGTGGTACGTAATATTGTACCTGATACAAGTATCGCTAGACTGTCTCTGAATCAGACGCCAATATAGTTGTGATGATCAGAATAATACCTTACAAGGTTTGACAATAGTCAATAATATTATAATTAGGGCCTATATTAATATATTTTATATGTCAGTGGTGACGTCATCACTTTCATTGGCACTGAATTTTCCTATTCCCGACTGATCACTACATCGATAGTGCCTCCGCTTTTTTTTTTGCATCTCGTGTGCGAAAAAAAAAAAAAAAAAATTAAAAGCTGGGGTGATTTTACAACAGTTATATCGCGATGAAATATTTCATTGCAGTCCAAGCTATGAACGCATACAGTGAACCAAACAAATCTCGCTCTACGGCACTGGTTAACATGAATAAAGCCTATATCGTCCTAGGCAATGTCTACTATACCAGGACGTTAGGCCTACCTAATAACCTCTAATGAACTTCATTAACCACAATCAATGTATCCATCTCCGGATCGCTAAGTATCGCGAAGTGCTGTGCGAAAGGTGTCAGTGTGGTACTACTTGGTACTACTAAGATATCATTCTTGCGCAGCTAATGCACACACACAGTGATCACTGAGACTGATGATATAGTATAGTATGATATAGGGCCTTGAGCTGTCGTAACAAAATGAGTCTTGTGGTACGCCAGTCAATTTGATATATTCAAGAAAATATAATATATATGATATTTTGACAAAAATTGGATTTCATAGTAGCAAAAGTTCTGAGTTTCCTAAGGTAATCATGTTTTTGAGGCACATAATGCAAAGCAATTTTTCAGAATTAGTAGGAAAACCAAAACAAAATGTATCAGTTGTTTATCTTTAGAGGCGATTTTATGTGTTTTATACATATAAAATTTAAAATGATCTTACTCCGGTTTTACTCGGCCTAGGCACATTCTTCAAAGACCAAAATAAAGCATATAATAGTCCTCTATCTAGATATATCAATTACTCATTTTATTTTTTGTAACACAAGACTCATTTTGTCACTAAAGCTCACCTGTAGCAACCGCTTTACAACCAGCAGTTTGATTATGAAAGGCGATGGACGTTACAACCTTAGGCATAATTATTTCCTTTAAAATTATTTCAGGAAATAATGGCTCCTTCGGCTTATATTTCCTATAGTGTACTCAAAACCTGACTATATTTGCTTCATATTACACAATAACAAGCAAAATAACATAATGAATAAAATAGGTAGGTTTTTTCAGCTCTAAAATGATCATATTCACGAAGTGGGTCAACTCGTAGTATTATATCCTGTCGACAATAAATACGTATAATAATAGGTTTACCTGGCGGCACATATATAGCATTTTCTGGTGGCACTCTGTTGTTACTCATTGTTGCCATTTCAAAAATT